AGACACTTGAGAAGATGTCTGACACTGCTAATTACTAGAGAAATGGAAATCAAAGCCACAGTGAAGTATCATCTTACATTGGGTAGAATAACTATCATCAAAGTCTATAATAATAAATGCTGGAGAGGGTGTGGAGAAAAGGGAAGAAATCCTTGTGCTCTATTGGTGGGAATGTAAATTTGTGCAGCCACTATGGGAGACAGTAAGGAAGTTTCTTAAAAAACTAAAATTAGAGCTACCATATGATCCTGTAATCCCACTCCTGGGTATATATCTGAAAAAAATGAAAATTATAATTCAAAAAGTTGCATGCACCCCAATGTTCACAGCAGTACTATTTATAAAAGCCAAGACATGGAAACAACTCATATACCCATCAACAGACTACTGGCTTAAGAAGAAATGGTGTGTATATATACACACAGTGGAATAGTATGCAGCCATAAAAGAAAGAAATACTACCATTTGCAGTAAAACAGATGGATGTAGTGAATATTATACTTCATGAAATAAGTCAGATGGAGAAAGACAAATACTATATGGTATCACATATATGTAGAATCTAATACTAATACAAATGAATCTATATATAAAACAGAAACAGAACCACAGATACAGAAAACAAACTTATAGATACCAAAGGGGAGGAAGGAAGGATACAAATTACTATATATAAAGTAGATAAGCAACAAGCATTTACTGTATAGCACAGGGGATTATATTAAATATCTTGTAATCCCATGGACAGAGGAGCTTGGCGGGCTACAGTCCCTGGGGTTGCAAAAGAGTCGGATACAACTTAGTGACTAAACAAAAACAACAATAACTCAATGGGTATAACCTGAAAAAAAAATCACTCTGCTGTACATCTGAAACTAACACTAATTCACTAATATTGTGAGTCAACTATATTTCAATTTTTAAAAAATAGCTGATATATTTAAAAGAAAACCAACAACACAGGCACCTGATCCATCGTCTCTCCCAACATCTTACTCAGAGCAGGCTTTGAGATCCACTATTAAAAAGACATATATATGGATACACATATGCAGTCATTAAAAATAATTAGGTATATATGCTATATATTAATTAGGTATATAGAAGGATCTCCAAAATATACTACTAAGTGAAAAAAGCAAGGTGAGAACACAGTGTGGTCACTTTAGTTAAAAAATAATCTTATCTATATTCTAGCAAAAATACACCCCCCCCCACCCCCAGGAGGAAACCAACTGTCAGAAAAAATGGAGTGGAGGTGGGAAAGTGAGTGTTTATTTTGCATTTTCTATCTCTCTGTACCATCTGAATTTTCTAACCATGCATATATACTGCTTAATTCATTTCAATGTATGAAAAACCACTGCAATGATGTAAAGTAATTAGCCTCCAACTAATAAAAATAAATGGGGAAAAAAAAAAGAAAACGTCCACCTGACTGGTGAAACTGCGGGCGAGCTTATTTATTATTTATTACATTATAAAGACTAATATAAGTTCCTAGTGGCCCCATCAATGTTTTGTTCATCTTGCTGCCCAAGATGTTGTCTGGTATAGCAGCCTTTTTTGTTGAGATGCTCAATAAACCCCTGGTGCATTGGAAAAAAAAAGACTAATAAATGTTATTAAAAATATTTTCAAAGCAAGTTTAAGCAGACAAGCAGCTGAGTCCATTTTCTGAAGCAATGCTGAGCAAGAGTCAGGAATTTACATCCTTTGAACAGTATGAGGATGGCTCATGTGCAATCAGAGGCCAGGATAATGCAATTTACATCTACAGAAATTTCCTGAATTAACAAATCCACTATGCATCAGCAATAATTTCCCGTAAGACAGAAACTCAGAAAGTATCTAAGAATCAATATGATCTACTCCTTAACCCTGTCTGCTGGGTATCAATGCAGAGCCTCTCCCCTCCGGATCTACCTGCCTTTGCCTTGCTTTGTGGTACTGCAGCTGGACCTGTCGACGTTTTTTCTTTGCCAGCTGGCACAATATATTAAGCTTTGTCAGTTGGGACACTACATTATGAATTGGTTTCTTTTCCTGGTTCTGGTGTGCTTTTTCCTTCTTGTTCCTGTTGTGTGTGGGACTCCCAGACGCGCTCACCACTTTGCAACTTTCAGTGGTAGCTCAGAGATGGTGGCTTGCTAGCAAGTCTTGTCAGAATTCCAGCAGGCAGTTTCCTGCTTGCCAGTCCAAGCCTGTGGCCCCGCAGTGAACTTCACTTCAGAGCAATCCAGCGGTCATAGCAATGCCTCTCCAACAAGGACTGAATCTCATATTGTTGGAGAGTGGCCCTCTCCAAATTTGCTCCTTTTGTGGGTATTCTGCCTGAACCTTAGACAAGCTGCTCCCTTTATCTGCTATTTCTGTATTCTTAAAAATCCTCTGTACTTCTTAGTAGTTAATCCCCTATCACTACTTAACAACTCCTTATATTAAATTTTTCCTGCTCATATTACTGTTATGGTTTCTGGCTCCTGACTGGACCTTGAGTAATTCATGCCCAAATTAAACCAAAACAAACCAAGTAAAATCAAGCCAAGCCAACAATAAAGAATTAAATCTATAAACTCATCATAAAATGTAAGTCTGTATACAGAGAAAAGCATGGCAAGCATCCCTGCTTGTTAACTAACTGCATTAAAAACATTCATGAAACAAACAAATAAAAAACCACAGTGTAATGGTTTTGCACTGTGTAAACTAAGCTAAGCTAGAACTATATTTCCCAGAACTCTCTTTGCCCCATGAGTCCAGGTTAGGGTTAACGACAGAGAAATGTGTCTAAGATTTGGAAGGCAAAAATGAAGCAGTGGCCACCACACTCTGAAGGTCAGTACAGCCAGGAGCTGCTGTATCTCATACACTTTTATAACTAATCTGCTGGATCCTCTTAATGTGTGGGAAGAACTAGGCTCACATCTCTTTCAGTTCCTGTTGGATCTCTTCCATTAGCTACTCCTCAGAGCTAGGCACATGTGTAGCTCCATGGCCAACAACGCGGCTTCTTTTTCAGGTCACCTCATTCCCTGAGGTTGGAGGATGTGAGAGACATACACAGATTCTACTTTGCCCTTGTTCTTCCCTCTGTCATGCCCAGCTTTTCTTCCTGACTGCTGCCCTGATGACCTACAGTGACATCAGGCCAACAGGTAGACCCTAATTTGAAGCTTTCTATAAGCTTCTTCTCCAGCTTCCATAACAACATAAAAGCTGGTCCCTACAATAGATTCCTTACTTCCTATCACTCATGGTGCTTTTGCTTGATGACCAAACCCTCGCTAATACACACTGTAAAACAGGTTAATAATCTAGCTTAAAAAAAGTCTTCAGTAGTTTGGATTTCTTGAGCAATTGAGTTTCTACTGTCAGCTATTATTTTCCCTACATTTCTTATTTTTTAAACTTAGATATTATATAGAAATAAATATCTTAGATGTTAAAGTGGGAAAATTTAGAACTTTTCTGGTTATTTTGGGATATGGAGACAAACCTCCTTGATGGTTTAAGACACAGGAAAGCCTGACCTATTTTTTTAACATTGTTCTTCATGTTAGGAGAGGAATAAGGTGAAGAACCACTAAGGAGAGTTCAGATGAGAATGGTATATATGCATTTAAGAAAAACTAGAGTGGGCCTGGAGACCGGTTAAGGGAAAACCAAAAGATAATGCCCAAGCTCCAGCTGGTTGTCATTAGTCTCTAAAGCCAAATTCATTTGATTAAAATTTTTGAGAGTTGTCCTTGTTTCCTGAGGATGCTCAGTATGACCTGCCGGATCTCAGAAGTGTGAGTCTCATAAATTTCATTTTCTGCTTTTGGAGAGGATGGGAAAGTAAGGAGGAAGAAAGAGGAATATGCAGGGACTTGGCAGCAGAGAAAGGGCTCCTGATTATGGAGAATGTTTGGGTTAAGACTTTTAACTCAGAAACTGTGGACAAACCATTTGAAGTAAAGTTTTTAAAAAATTGGTCTTATCAAGAAATATTTATTGAGCACATACTAAGTGCAGGAAGAGGACTAGGCCTCATTAGTCAGAAATGGTGGATGAAACAAAAAGGATGGGCAGAACAAAAAGAACAAGAGAATCTGCCAGCATCTAAGGGCATGGATCATTTTTATGAATCAGCTAAAGCACTTTATCTAATGCCAAGTTAGTTCTCCACTAAAACAGATCTGGGAATATCTGATACTCTCTCTTGACTTAGAGTCCATGAAACAGGGAATAGCTTAAACTAGAAGTCCTTCCATAACACCTGTCTGAAGTCCTGGGCTTCCTGAGGCTAATGGCACATAGCTGGACCATGAGGCAGCCTGGCTGCCACAGGTTTATTGTTTCTTATTGTATATTTCAGAAGGACATAATCAATGTGATCTTCAGAGTGTGGCTATTTAACTCCTTTCAAGTCTTCACAGGAAAAGAGAGAACAAGAATTTGCTGGATTTGTTTGCCGTAAGAATCAATCTCTTTGAAAGGCATGGACAGGAGAACTACAATATGTGATAGAATTAAGAAAAGCACTGAACACTCCAGAAAATTTTAAGAAGGTTCACAGAAGTTGCCAATGAAGTTAATCTCTAATTTCTGCCTTACATTTATTTATCTAGTGTGTTCATTCATTCATTCACTCATTCAGTAGAAACTTATTGATTAACATTGGGATATAATGAATAAGACAGATAATATCCCACCAAATTTGTTTTCTTTGGTGGTGGAAAGCAGTCAAATATAAACTAAACAATACATAATTTCAGGTTATTAAGTTGCTCTAAAGAACAATGAAGTAGGGATAGAGTGGTGGGGTTATATCTTAGGAGATAATAAACATGTATTTCATTTTTTACACATAGTATGCAACAAATGTTATAATAAATATAACCACAGATGTGTCTTAGATATAGTCAGGAGATGGGACTGATGTAGTTTCACGATAAATCAAGCTGAATACATTTATATAAATCAAAATGACTTACACATAGACCACTAAAACTTACCCTATAGAAAGCACTAGTCAGAGGGAGTAATGCTGCAGCAATGTTATATTCTTCTAAACTGGAACAATCCTTAAAGAAAAAAAAAGATAAATGAGCATTATTAGGACATTTATCAGAAATCACAAACATATGGAAACAAAAATCTATGATACATTATTTACTGTACTAAGGGGTTTTACTTTTATTCTAAATTGTCATTAAGACTTACCTAGATAATTGTGAAAAAAGAGCTGGAAAAAAAAATACTGTCTTGAAGCACATTCTTTTGATGTAAAAATACATTTGAGAAAGATATTTTCATATACTATTGGTGAGTAGCTACTTTTACTTTCCCATTTGTATTCACAGCTGTGCAATTTGTCCAAAAAATTTTGGAGGGGGTTTAAATATATTTAATTACTGCATTTGACTGAGCCTAAGATACACCTTTTCCCTCCACATTTTAACTTCTCTAAGACTGGGATGTATGTTATAATTGAAATAGTGTATTTTTTCTTAGTGTTACCTATGAAGAGTTTGCATGTAAAATTTTGTTATGGATCAGGCAAGAAATATCAATGATGCCAAAACCCTCTGGGTGAAATGTTGGGGAATGGGAAAAAGTCAGGAAATCTCAGTGGGAATGTAAAATGGTGCAGCTGCTAGGAAAATGGAGAGAGGAATGAGGAAAAGCAGCTAAGGACAGAAACCTGGGGAAGATATACGCTTATATAGAAGGAATAAAGGAAAATAAAGATGGGAAAGAAATTAGAAGAAAGCAATACTAAAGATGTCAGGCTTCCCTAGTGGTAAAGAATCTACCTGCCAATGCAGGAGACGCAAGAGACACTAGTTCAATCCCTGGGTCAGGAAGATCCCCTGGAGTAGGAAATGGCACCCCACTCCAGTATTCTTGCCTGGAAAATTCCATGGGCAAAGGAATCAGGCAGGCTACAGTCCACGAGGCCACAAAGGGTCAGACGTGACTGAGCACAATACTATAGATGTCAGGAGAAGAAATGACCAGTGGTGTTGAAAGCTTCATGAAATTCAGTAAAATGAAGATTGAAAAAAAGCCAAGAAACTTGTGAATCAAAGAGGTTACTGGTGACATGATGGGGGTATAAGTGAGTAGAGTAAAACAAAGGCCCCGAATGAAAATGCACATAGCTATAATGGGAAGGAAGCTGTGGAAGAGTTATGACATCCAAATGGGTGGCTGAATGAATCTTGGTAGTACTGAGCCAGATGAATACTAACATTCTATGTAATCCTTTGATTCTGTAAAAATTAGAAGGGACCCACACACACCAAGGAGGAAAATCCAAGGGGGAGAGAGTTGAAAAAGAAAGGTCACTTGGTAGAACAAGGTCTCTGAGATATGCCTGCTAATCAATGTGGTTTCCATTTCTAAGGGGGGAACATCTCATTTCCATAAAAAGCAAACTAACAGAATTTATGTTAACCATCAGGATCCATGAATACATCAGCAAATATATTAGGAAAGAGAAGCTTGGTTTTACAAGGAAGACTCAGGCTTATCTAAGAAGTTTCTATGAGGGCAGCGGGCAGTGTCCTTACTGTTGGGCAAATCCTAGTTGTTGTTTTTTTTTTAAACTGGAGGATAATTACTTTACAATATGGGATGGTTCCTGCCACGCATCAATATGAGCCACAGGCATGCACATGTTCCCTTCCTCTTAAACCTCCCTCCCAGCTCCCTCCCTAGCCCACCCCTCTAGGTTGTCACAGCTTTGGGCTTCCTGCATCATACAGCAAATTCCCACTGGCAATCTGTTTTACATATGGTAATGTATATGTTTCAGTACTACTCTCTCAGGTCATCCCACTATCTCCCTCACCCACAGTGACTGAAAGTCTATTCTTCATGTCTATGTCTCCTTTGCTGCCCTGCAAATAGGAAGGCAGTCATTACTTTGAAATTGCATTTATGTTTTTATTTTAAAATCAAGGCAGGCTGGGAAAACTGGATATTCACATGAAAAATGAAACTAGACTTCTATCTTATACCATACACAAATATCAACTCAAACTGGATTAAAGACTTGAATACAAGACTTGAGCAATAAAACTCCTAGGAGAAAACACAGGTGATAAGTTCCTGGACATTATTCTTGGCAATCATGTTTTAGATCTGACACTTAAAGGCAACAAAAGCAAATATAAACAAATGGGACTACATCAAACTAAAAAGTTTCTGTACATCAGAGAAAACCATCAACAAAATGAAAAGGCAATCTATGTAACAGGAGAAAATATTTGCAAATCATATATCCAATAAAGGGTACATAGCCAAAATATTCAAGGACCTCATACAACTCAAGAGTAAAAAAGACCAAATAACTCAATTAAAAAATGGGCAAAAGAACTGAACATTTTTTCAAAGACATACAAATGGCCAACAGGTACATGAAAAGGTACTCCATATTGTTAATAATCAGAGAAATGTAAATCAAAACCAAAGTGAGCTGTAACCTCACTATTAGAATGGCTATTATGCAGAGTACACCATGAGAAACGCTGGGCTGGAGGAAGCACAAGCTGGAATCAAGATTGCTGGGAGAAATATCAATAACCTCAGATGTGCAGATGACATCACCCTTGTGGCAGAAAGTGAAGAACTAAAGAGCCTCTTGATGAAAGTGAAAGAGGAGAGTGAAAAAGCTGGCTTACAGCTCAACATTCAGAAAACTAAGATCATGGCATCCGGTCCCATCACTTCATGGGAAATAGATGGGGAAACAGTGGAAACAGCAGCTGACTTTATTTTTCTGGGCTCCAAAATCACTGCAGATGGTGATTGCAGCCGTTAAATTAAAAGACGTTTACTCCTTGGAAGGAAAGTTATGACCAACCTAGACATCATATTAAAAAGCAGAGACATTACTTTGTCAACAAAGGTCCATCTAGTTAAGGCTATGGTTTTTCCAGCGGTTATGTATGGATGTGAGAGTTGGACTATAAAGAAAGCTGAGAGCCTAAGAATTGATGCTTTTGAACTGTGGTGTTGGAGAAGACTCTTGCGAGTCCCTTGGACTGCAAGGATATCCAACCAGTCCATCCTAAAGGAGATCAGTCCTGGATGTTCACTGGTAGGACTGATGTTGCAGCTAAAACTCCAATACTTTGGCCACCTGATGTGAAGAGCTGACTCATTTGAAAAGACCCTGATGCTGGGAAAGATTGAGGGCAGAAGGAGAAGGGGACAACAGAGGATGAGATGGTTGGATGGCATCACCGACTCAGTGGACATGGGTTTGGGTGGACTTCGGGAGTTGGTGACGGACAGGGAGGCCTGGTGTATTGTAGTTCATGGGGTCGCAAAGAGTCGGACACGACAGAGCTGAATTACCAAAAAGACAAGAAAAAATTGCTGAGGAGGATGTAGAGAAAAGGGAATCCTTGCACACTGTTGGCAGGAAAGTAAACTAGTACAGTCGCTATGGAAAACAACTGGAGGTTCCTTAAGTAACTAAAAATAGAACTATCATATGATCCAAGAATCCCACTTCTGGGTATATATACAATGCAAAGAAAATAATTTATCTTAGAGAGAAATCTGTACTCCCATGTTCATTGCAGAATTATTCACAACAATTATTCCACCCAAGGTGTGGAAGCAACCTAAGTATCCATCAAAGAATGAATGGATAAAGAAAATGTAGTTTATATGTGCAATATTATTCAGCCTTATAAACGAAAAAAATCCTGCCACTTGTAAAAACATGGATGAACTTAGAGGGTATTATGGTTAAGTGAAATAAACGAGGCAAAGAAAGACAAATACTGCATGGTATCACTTATAGGTGGAGTCTTAATGGTGGTTGCCAGGGGCTGGGGTATGGGAGAAATGGGAAGATGCTGGTAAAAGAGTACATATAAGATGAATAAGGGTTGAGAATCTAATGTATAACATAGTGATTATAGTTGATAATACTGTTATTATATAATGAAAATTTGCTAAGAAAATAGAATTTAAGTATTCTTATCCTCCCCAAAAAGGTAAATAGGCAAGGTGATGGATGTGTTAATTAATTCGATTGTGGGAATCCTTTTACAATGTATGGTGTTTTAAATCATCATCATGGTGTACACTTAAAATACATTACAAATTTATTTGCTGATTACACTTCAGTACAACTGGAAAAAAATACAGAGGCCATGTAGGAAAACACCACATCCTTTTCCTGTTCTGTCATCTCCATGGGTTTTATAAAATAATCCCAGAATACAGCAAAAAGTGTGACTCATCTTTTTTCTTCCTAACTTATTCCTCATTCTCTTGCTTAGGACACTGTTATGTGCAAGAATGTCATCCCCTGTGTCCTAGCACATCTGAGTTTCTTTAACAGAAATGCTTTGCATGTTTCTGAAGACTGTCATGAGGCCCAAGGCAATAAAGTTCAACAGACTTGAGCTGTAATCTTCTCCTAAGGAAATGATTGGGATGCCAAGATGCCTTTTGACTTTGATTTCACAGCAGGGCTTCATTTGTAATGATGCTGTCCAAACTTTAAATGACAACAGCTGTGATATGAAGTCCCACACACTCATTTATACAAATTTCCCACAAATTAAAAAAAATTAAACAATGGGGAATTTCAGTCCACGACCAATTAGCAGGGAACAGGCAATCATAAAACATTTAGAAGCTATTTATTATCTTATAAAATGTTTACACATTGTAGTGCATGTCTCAAACCTGAGCGCCAGTTAAATGCTGATTGCAAAATATAAATAAAAAATTCTTTGTAAATCACGTTAGAGACATTCTAAGTTAATTAGATTGAAAAATGGAAAACTTTGAAACAAGAAGTACAATCATTGACATAGCAATAGCATTTCGGCATAGTGCAGTTATCTGTTGGGGAATCAGTTTGTAAATACACATCCTGAAGTCCCCTGTGTTCTGGCCACATAATAGCAAAGTAGTTACAGGCATACCAGGCATTTTATAAGCCTGCAAGTACTTGAATGCCTATATATGTTTTATTTTGAACTTTGCTATGTGGTTTACCTTTAATTTTCCTCCTACAATTGAAGAGTGAAACTTGCAATCTTAATTTCTC